GTGGTCACAGGGTAAGAGCCAATCCCCAGGCTGGTGTCCAGGGCTTTCCACCATTAGTCCCTTTCCAGCCTTCTCTGTCACTAGGTCTCTTTCTTGAGCATCCCGGGGCCTGCCCTAGGGTAATAAATACTATATCCTGGCCTCGTGGGGGAAGTTTCTAGGCCTTTGCTCTTGCTGCTGTCTCTGCCTGGATTCCTTTCCTCCCACTTTCCCGGCTTCAATTCCAATTCCTCCAAAAAACCTTACAGATCTCCCCCTGTCACCCTCCCTGGGATGACTTTTCCATCCTTTCCATCATGCTCCCATAGCAGTTGGTCTTCAAATTATAGCACTTATTTTACTATATTAGGATGAGCTGTATCTTTTCTGAACTGTGATGTAAATGTATCAAAGACACAGGACCGGGCTTCCCTGGTGGCGCAGTGGTTGAGAGTCCGCCTGCCGATGCAGGGGACACGGGTTCGTGTCCCGGTCCGGGAGGATCCCACATGCCGTGGAGCGGCTGGGCCCGTGAGCCATGGCCGCTGAGCCTGCATGTCCGGAACCTGTACTCCGCAACGGGAGAGGCCAGGACAGTGAGAGGCCCCCGTACCGCAAAAAAAAAAAAAACAAAACAAAACACAGGACCCTGATTTAGGTACTTCTGTAGCTTTTGCCATACCTAGAACAGTACTTCAAACTTACTTTTCATTGAATTCTTAAACACTTGCAAAGGTATATACATCATTGAACAGTCTTCTGCTCAAAGACAGACTGTTAGATACTGAGATTCCTAAGTCTATGTCTGTCACAGAACCAAGCATCATGACCAATTCAGCTACTATCGGATGTTTCCAAACTTCTGGCTGTTTGGCATCATCTAAACACGGAAGCCAGGTGAATGGCTGATATTCTTTTCATCTTCATGGAATCAAAGATTTTAGAGCCAGAAGGAACTTTAGGGAGCTAAAATCATATTACAGAGGAGAGAATTGTGAACTTGAACCGGTAAGTGACTCTTCCGAAGCCACGTGGTTGCTTAGTGACCCAGGTGTGTGGATCCAGCCGGTAATATCTCTACGTGGTCCTGCCTCCTGAGCCTTCCTGGCTGTGGCCTTGGGTTCCACTGAAGATATAACCAGTCAATTTCCTTTCTGCCCCGCTTTGGGATTGGCTGGCCTTCTGTCTATACACACCGTCATCCAACAATAATTCCATTAACCACTCTTTGCTCGAGGCTGATATCACTGGGATAGAATTAAAAACAAAAGAGAACTGAGAGTTGAACTCAGGGGGACTGAGAGCAATGCTAACAGTTCATTAGCCATCGCCTTGCTAAAGCTACGGCAGCTGCTGGCTTCAGTCAAGTTCAGACCCTTAAAAAGAGTGGAAAAAAGAAAGCACATAGTTTCCAGTGCCTGGGTACTGCACAGCCATCCAGCTGGGTGTAGCACCATGGCAAAAAGATCTGTTCAGTTTCAGAAATACAAGACCCCGTGCTTGCACACAGGGAGGGGACTGTAGCTGCAACTGGGCCTGATTTGGCATTACTTCTGCCTGCAGTTCTATCAGACACAGCTCCTATGGGAAGTCCATTAGTATCTAAAGAAAGAACCAACCCTCCAAGTTGACATAAGGAGCAGGGCTTGTGTGTGTGTGTGTGTGTGTGTGTGTGTGTGTGTGTGTGTGTGTGTTTAAAGGCCTGTGTCTAAGGTCGACAGGCTTTTCAAGAGAAACTCTTGGTTTTCTATGTAAACGGTGTACTTCCTCTGGTCCAGAGTTAGCCCGTTAAGGGAATGAAGCACAATTCAGGTTTCTGAGTTGGAAGCCTGATGAATCTTTCTGCCAGTTACATATGGAAAAAAATTAGTAAATGGTCCATCTGGGACTAAACTACTGCAGAGATGATAAATTATCGCCATCATATGTCTGTGTTGCTGCAGACTGAGTCGTGCTCACCAGGAGCTGCTGAAAGATATCTGGATGCTCTAGCGAGGTCAGAGGAATAAAAGTTAAAAAAAAAAAAAATTAGAAGTAAAAAATTTACCTTGAAATGTTTCTTGGGAGGACAGTTTGGTTGGTGCCAAGTTTGTGCCTTAGAACTGCTCTATCTGCAAATATTTAAAAGGAGAGTCTGGGCATAAGAAATATTTTACTTTTATATTTTCAAAGGCCAATACAGTAACAAGTATTGATTAGTACCCAAATGTCTCAGTGGGTAGGATAGTATAATTATATATACAATAAAAATATACCCCTGTGTAATATTGCACCTTATAACTTTCAGAGCAACTTCTTGTCTGTTTTCTTATTTAAATTTCAAAGGTGGGACAAGTCAGTGTCTCTAATTCTTTTTTTTTTTTTTGCGGTACGCGGGCCTCTCACTGTTGTGGCCTCTCCCGTTGCGGAGCACAGGCTCCGGATGCGCAGGCTCAGTGACCATGGCTCACGGGCCCAGCTGCTCCGCGGCACGTGGGATCTTCCCGGACCAGGGCACGAACCCGTATCCCCTGCATCGGCAGGCGGACTGTCAACCACTGCGCTACCAGGGAAGCCCTCTAATTCTTGATGGATGAAAAACTGAGGTTTAGGAAGTTGAGTGCCTTGCCCTTAATGACACAGATGGCTAAATGGCAGAACTGGGATGAACAACGGATTCGGAATCCAGCTTCATTTCCATCAGAGCCTTGCATGACATCAAAAACATTTTCAGTTTTTCATCATTCATCTAGCAGCACCAGGAAATGAAGCCTTCTATTTCTGTCAGTTTTCTAGAAGCAAAAGCCATACCTTCTTGATCATGAAAAGTAGTTTTTTCTCTAATTAGAAGTGTTGAGTATTAGTTTAACTTTTTTAGGGCATGTTTTAATTTTTTTAATTGAGGTGTGATTGACATAAAATTTGATTAGTTTCAGGTGTACCACAATGATTCAATATTTGTATATGTTGCAAAATGATTACCGCAATAAGTCGAGTTGACATCTGCCACCTTACATAGTTACAAAAAAAATTTTTTTTCTTGTGATGAGAACTTTTAAGATCTACTCTCTTGGCAACTTTCAAATATGCAATACGGTCTTATTAACTATAGTCATCCTATATCTCCACGACTTACTTTATAACTGGAAGTCTGTACCCTTTGATCCACTTTATAACTGGAAGTCTGTACCCTTTGATCCCTACACCCATTTCTCCCAGTCCCTGGTTTAACTTTTCCTTTTGACTGAGGCACACCCCTCTCCACTTGAGTTATTTTATAAAGCTAAAACCATCAGTGCCGTCAGGGGCTTTTTAGGGGTGGTAACATTTTGCCCCTTTGCAGAATGGCCCGAGGCTACTGTGACATCCAGGTTCTTATGCCTGCTTTGAAATTTTCTTTTGTGTCTTTCTCCAGGGCAAACCTTCAGCAGTTAATCCTTGAAGCAGCTGAGGTCCTCCCCTCTAGAAAAAGCAGTTCAAAACGTACAGAAAAGCAGACTAGACTTAGAAATTATTAAATCACCTGGTTTATCAGATGTCAGTTTCTAAACATAAGCCATAGGTGCTGCTAAGTAGTCTTCATACAAGAAAGAGAAGCAACGGGCCCCTAGCATTTACGGGTCTGTGCTTGGCAGTAACCTTGTCTCACCGAGATCACCTCCAAGTTTCTCACGTATCAGCCAGACCTGGTTCCTCCATGTACCTGAATAGCCCTCATGCTTTCTCACCTCTGGGCCTTTGCTTCAGCTTTTCCCTATTCCCGCCTGTCAAAATCCCGTGCAGATCTCAAGTCCCATTACTATTGTCTTGATGCTTTCCCTTACCTGCCTCCCCACACCAATCAGAAACAAATGTCTCCTTTGAAAACTTCTAACTCTTTGTTAGAGAAAATAACACGGTCTGTATTTGAGTGAGTTGCCTGTATACCTGTTTTATCTCCCACAGAGGACAATACATTTCTCAAGGGCAGAGATTTCATCGTCTTCTCTCTCTGACCCTTCTTCCCTCCCCAGTCCCTCGCCCAATACTTGGCCCTTAATTGAAGCTTAACATGCAGTAGAGTAGGGTAATTTTATTTTTTAACAATGGACTCAATGTCTTTGGATGGGTGGATAAATTAATGATTTAAGATGTATCAGTATCACTTGGAGGGCTTGTTAAAACAGATCCCTGAGCCCCACCTCCAAATATTCAGATTTAGTAGATCTTCGGTAGGGCCAAGAATCTGCGTTTCCAACAAATTCTCAGGTGATACTGATGCTGCCCTTCCAGGGACCACAGTTTGAGAACCACTGATAGAATGAATTTGTTTCCTAACATTCTCACACTAAAGCTCATAGGCTCACACCATTCTTTTCATTAGAGAGCCTATTGCTGTGTCTTCCTTGATGTGTAGGTCAAAAAAATATCTTCCATTAGAAATTATGATGCCGTCTATCCTGTGTACCAACTTTTCTATTTTGTAAGATTATAGGTTAACCGTATCCTCCAAACTTGTAGCCCATTTAGTGAGCTTTAGCTTGATGGCATCTTTTTCTCCAGGAATAGAGCCAGCGTAATTTTATTTTACAACAACAGACTAGGGAGTCATTGACTTTGCAGCCTGTATACCTGGTCTACCCGGAGGATCAAGGCTGGTTCTCATGGTGGAAGGCCGGCCTTGAAGGCTTGCTGGCGCTCTGATGTTTTTCCTTTATATAGACAAGTGTTTCAGTGGCAGCTGAAGTAAAGTAAAATGATCTCACAAATGTCTCAATGGCAGCTAGAGTAAAATAAGATAATCTCATAATATCTATGGCATGTATTTTCAAATCTCTGGGTCCTTTTATGCCCCATGAGGCAGTTTCAAGAACACTCCATCACGAAAGACCCAGTGCTTCAATAACTTTCCAAGAAATAAAGAGGTACCGTTGCAATTGACTTTTTCGCTGAAGTATGTCATGTTTTAGAGAGTCAGGCCAGAGGCGACATCCACCGTGGTTGAGAGGGTTCTCTCTCCTCCTCTGCTCTAATCCCGTCGTCCTTCTGCTCCTCTCCACCAGCCACTAGACGCGTCATCTCCTAGAAGACCAGCGTTCTCGCGATCATGGAGGCCTCTCTGTCCTTTCTGTGACTGGAGCAATGCTGACCTCGGTTTCCTGGACCCATTCTGACTCAGGTAACCAAGCTTTGCCTTCCCCAGCTGGCTTACACCTCATGGAGATTGCACTGAATAAATGAAATACCAAAGCTATATTTAAATGCAAATGCCAAATTGATTGTTTCTCCAGCAATTGATATCCTCCCCCTCTTCCTCCGCGTCTTGGCGTCTTCTTTTTTTTTTTTCTTTTGCGGTTCGCGGGCCTCTCACTGTTGTGGCATCTCCCATTGCAGAGCACAGGCTCCGGACGCAGGCTCAGCGGCCGTGGCTCACGGGCCCAGCCGCTCCGCGGCATGTGGGATCTTCCCGGACCGGGGCACGAACCTGTGTCTCCTGCATCGGCAGGCGGACTCTCAACCACTGCGGCACCAGGGAAGCCCCCTCCGCGTCTTATTTTTTATTCTTTTTTCCCCGCGTCTTCTTAATGATCAATTTATACAGCTGATCAGACTGACAATGTGGTCAATGAATTTAGGCATTAAGGTAATGAGAATGAGTCACATCTTTATTTAAAATTTTGGTGTGTGTCATAAACACAAAGCAACAGGCACCTTGCTGGGAATTTTTGTATAGCAACTAGCCTCTGCCGTACGTAGTTTCTCTAAGCCATTTTCTTTCCTATAACACTATATTTCTTTTTATAAATTTATTTATTTATGGCTGTGTTGGGTCTTCATTGCTGTGCGCGGGTTCTCATTGTGGTGGCTTCTGTTGTTGCGGAGCAGGGCTCTAGGCACGCAGGCTTCAGTAGCTGTGGTTCGAAGGCTGTAGAGTGCAGGCTCAGTAGTTGTGGCGCACGGGCTTAGTTGCTCCGCGGCATGCGGGATCCTCCCGGACCAGGGATCGAACCCGTGTCTCCTGCGTTGGCAGGCGGACTCTCAACCACTGCGCCACCAAGGAAGCCCCTATATTTCTTTTGAATTGTATTAATCTTTCTAATGTTGGACCTTTTAATTGAGTTTAATAAGTATTATTGAGTATCTGTTATGTGTTCTCAGGGCAGATGGGGATAAAAAACTATAAGACGTATAAAAACATAAGATACATCCTCATGCAGCTCAGACCTTAGCAAAGGAGCCACGACTCACTCATAAGAAAATGGCAGATGGCGCTCAGCTTCCAGCCGGAGCCGTGCACTATGGTAGCTCTCTGGTTCAGGGAATTAAGAGACTTTGAGGATTGGGATTGAAATAATCGGAGAGTTCATGGAAGAGGGAGGGCTGAAGGTGGGCTTGGTCACTGTGGATCATTCAGCCAAGAGGGAAGAGAAGCAGCCTGGTCTGGCCCGGAAGGCGGGAATGAGCCTGCCATGAGCCTAGCCAGTGAGGACCACACAGGGCTTGGAGGGCCCTGAGCCTCTATCCCAGCCAGAGCCAGGCTCCTCCTCGGGGCCTGGGTCCCTTAAGGTTCCCCTGGGGACACGCTACCTGCTCTGTTACAGAGTCACCTTGGCTGACGGCTTCCTTCAGGGGACCCTAGTCTGTGGTGCCCCAGCCCTGGCTTGGCTGCTCCCTGGCTGGTCTTCTGCTTCCTTGGGCTTGCCCATACCTGGCCTCTGCCTCTCTACCTGATTGTTTATTCTTACATACCTGCCCCCCTCCCCTCTACACTCTGCCTGGCGGGTGTGGCTTGACAGGGCCCCGGGATGAACCAGGTGCTGTGTGAGGTCAGTACCTGGTGATTCACAATGGGTGATTCTGAGCTGAGAAGTGGAGTGGAAGGGTAGGAGGAAGAAGCCAGGAACGTGAGTTTGTACGTTGATGTCAAGAGTGTATCAAGAGTTCTGAAAACCAGAATTCAGGGAGGGCCTCAAGGCTGAAGCTGGGGCCATAGTCAGGGGTGGGAGCCCAGTGTGCTGATTCATCTTGCAATGGCCCAGCAAATCCTGCCCACACCTAGCTCTTCTGGATAAAGCAGTGGCGGCATTCCTGCCCTGGGTCTTGAGGGTGCTGCTGAGGGTCGCCGGCCGAGGCTCCCGCCCATCCCATCAGGTCTGCGTGGCCACACACCACCTGCCTTAGCGTGCACCAGTGCTTCTGGAACTGAGGCCTGGCTCATCCAGGAGCTCAGGCCTTCCTGGAGTCAGAGCCCTGGATCACCAGCCACCAGGAAGTGGAAGGACTAGAATAACAGTATTCGTGTTCCCCTCCCACAGAAGCGACTGCCTAATCTGTTGTTGCCCTGCCTCTTCTAAGCCTGGGGTGGGTTAACTACGGCCCGCCGGCCAGGCATGGCCCACTGCTTGTTTGGGGTGAACAAGCTGAGATGGTTTTCACATTTTAAAATGACTGGAAAAAATTAAAAGAAGAATAGTATATTTTGCCTTGTAGAGATGATATAGAATTTAGATTTCAATGTCCCTAAATTAAGTTTTACTGGAACATAGTCATGTTCATTTATTTCCAGATTGTCTATACCAGCTTTTGCGCTACAAGGGCAGAGTTGAATAGGTGCGTCGGAAACCATAAAGTATTTACTTTCTGACCCTTTACAGAAAAAAACTTGCTATCCTCTGGCTTAGGCAATTGATTGACACAAGTGTTTGCAAAATTTGAGGTGTGGAACTTTTTCCCTCATAAAGAAAATAGGATTGAAGGATGAGTAGGATTTAAATAAGCAAGAGAGGAAGAGAGGAATTTTCTAGATTGAGATAGAGAATTGGTCATAGTCTAGTTGGATTTTTCTGTTCATCTATTTAACTTTTGGTTAAAGCTAGATATGACATAGAGGCTATTTCATTTCAGGAATCTAATTATTAGGGTCGTCTTTAAAATGAGGCATCCAGGCTTCTCAGGTTAACGTAAATGTTGGAACAAATCAGCACCAAATTAACATATAGCCTGCATTTTGGAACTTTCTTCTTTTTACTTGGCACTGGGTGTGAACTATTTTGTTTTAAACCAAAAAAGCATTTTGTTTTAAATCAAGTAAGCATTGAAGGTTTGCCATGAGTAAGCTGTGGCATTTAATCTTGGCAGCATTTTCCCAGTCTGGTGGGGATTTTTGATACTGTTGAGTGAAAACTGGTGAAAGTTGGAGATGCGGGTTCTAATCGTACTAGCTAGCTGAGCCAGGGCAGGCTGTGGGATACTAGGGTAAAAAGTACACTCCAAATCTCAGGGTTTAGTGCAATAAAAGTGTGTTTCTCACTCACCCAGAGTTGGATTGCACGAGTGTGGCTTTGCTGCCTCCCCCATCCTGTGACACCTACGTCTCAAACTGTGGCTTCCTGGTTGCTTCAATATGTGAAAAAGAGTTGAGAACACACACCCATTCTTAGGCGCCTTAGACCAGAAGTGACTCAGACCGATTCCACATCCACAGTCCATTGGCCAGAACTAGTCACATGACCCTGTCTCGTTGCTGGGAGGGTAGGAAGTAGGGAGCAGCGTGAGGTACCTTTGGGGTTGCCACTGCCCCTGCAGCACTGTATCACTGTGGGAAAGCCCAAACTTTTATCTGTGCTTTTGTCTGCTCATGATTAAAGGGTAATTAACCCAGACCTGCATTTTTTCACACAGTTTATGAAAGGCTTAAAAAGATGTATGAAAGATCTCTAAAAGGCATAACGAGTTGTAAAATATGTAAGATATAATCGTTACCTAACTTCCTTACCGGGTCTTGAATGGTGATGGGCTGGAGTTGGGATAGTCACACATGCCCCAGTGTGCCTGGAAGCATCCTAGCATTTGCCAGTTGACCCAACAGAATTATAATACAGCCCTTCCTTTCACACCTGGAAATATGCTGGTATGGACAATACATGACATGCTCACCCCAGCTTCACCCCACTGGTCATCCTTGAAGATTAATGTTAGCTGCTGTTTATTGAGCCTCTTCCAGAGGTCACGCTGTCCTCAGCTTCTGCCTGCCTTCTTTTCATTTAGTTCCCCAAACAAACTTGTGAAGTAGGTACCGGTAATCTCATTTTAAGGCGAGGTAACAGATGCAGAAAGGTTTAAATTGTGCATGATCACAGCTAGAGAGTGGTACCGCTTTGCTTTGAACCCAGCTCTTTCTTGCTCTTTCCAGCTCTTGCACGTGACTGCCTCACTCATCCTTTACGAGGATTGTGCCCTTGACCACGTGGGGCCCCCCTTCCCTGACACTGGCTTGGGAATCTGTTCCCAGACCACACACGGGGAGAAGGGCATAGCTCCGAGTGGCGAGTCCAGCCCTTTTTGACCCCGATGAGAAGACAAGTCATGGAATCATGAAGGGGTTCTCCGGAGCCAGCAGTTAACAGGTTCAGGGTGGCAAGCTCTGCTCCTGACTTTCACTTGGTCCCTTTCTGCCTGCTTCCCTGATGTTGACAACTGCAGCTCGTTTTAAAAATGGGCACCACCTTTATATATAGGGAGAAAAGATTTTATTTTGAAATCTAGGGTGGAGTAGAACTCCAGCCAGCGAAGACTTGCCATGTGCTGTGCAGTTGATCCAAACAGGCATCTTCTCAACTTAAACAGTGAGTAGAAACTGAGCTCCATTTTCAGGAAGTTTGTTTACAAGTTTGTTTATTAAAAAAAAAAAAAAAAAAAAAAGCCAAACCACAACCAACGACCAGTTTGCTTGAAGAATTATATCAGACAAAAACCCATCTACTCAGGAGGTGGTTTTAATTTCCCTGGTTCCTGGCCTTCCTAATCACTGTTCAGAACTGACCCCACGGAATCAAAGGGAATAGTCTCTGAAAAATGGACCAGATGTATCAGAAGCACCTATTGCAATGCTTGCTTCAAGAAAACCCCCAGACAATTATACGTGTGGTTTCTAGATGTACAAAGAAAACTAAAGGAATTCCATTATGAAAGAAAAATTAGATGGAAATTCCTAATCCCATCTCATAAACAATATAGGAATAACTTTTAAATATTCTGCTTTAAGCATGCATTTAATTTGTGCTCTGGGAACCAAATAATCTTGCTAAGATAAAACATTCTAATAATGATTTATGTAAATTTATTTGTACAAAGTAATGGTGTAGTTGCCTATAGCAAATTGCTTGGAATATGAAATGA